TTCGTTCCAGTTCTGAGGTCACCAAATCTCACATTCCTCCAGGGTTGGGAAAATGGTACCGGACTTATCCGGGAAAAAATCGCTGTTTGAAATCTAATTAGGAATGCTCTAAATTGGTTATTTCTCTACGGATAATCGACTCAACCAGCATTCAACGACATTCGTGATGAAAGGAAAGCCCATGAACAGCAGGAAGCCATGCGTAGAAAGTTGGAAGATCCTCGTGGATGTTGAATGCGAGGAAACCATTCTCGAATGCGAGAAGTGATGAGATCCTCATAGTAGATGTGAAAGACGGGCCACATAAAAAAAAAAGAAAAAGTAATGCATCACACTTATCGAATGAAAAAACGAAAAATAAAAAATGCATAACTAGGTTGAACAACTGGGAAATACTTATAAACTCTGACAGCATTGTTCTTGTGTGGTGGATTTCAGCAACTTATAGTAAGTAGCAACATATATACGATGCATATCCTTAGAGCAATATAACGAAGAACTTTCCTGTAATGTTCTCAATTCCGGAGAAATAAGGCCTTGGTTGCAAAGTGCAGGAAATCTGTGGACACCAGTGCGTTTTTGGCAAATGTTGCTTATGGAAACGCCGTTCGCGGTCAGCCCAAGGTATAATACAGTAAAGATTGCTATTTTCTTAATAAGCACACATGTTTCTTAATAAGCACATGGTTGTTGCCACATGTTATTTATTCAAAACATCTGACGTTTCAGAGGACTTTGTCTTGTTCAGAGTCTCGGACAGTTAAGCTAACTACAATCTAATGAGCCAAAATACCTCAATAATCTCGAGAAAAAAAATCACTATACCTAATGCAATTGAACTGAAATAAAACAGCTTCATCACAAACTCACCACCCTCTGTGAGTCTTCCACCGAGTAGTCCATATGGAGAGCAACGGTATGGAGCCCACATGGATGGGTATTTAGTCTCTCACCTAATAAATATCAGTCTGAGATATTGTGCAAGATCCTAGGTTGCAATGACGAACCTCTTTCTGCAACTCAATTTCGAAATATTGGCAATTATCCAGAACACTTCGAAGGCATTACACACTAAGGCCTTAAACTCCTATGCACAGATGGTGTCTTTCACTTGAAAATCTTCCTTGTTATGTGTCTGTGGCTCAAGCGTGAATAGTGAAGTATTTTGTACAACCTTAAGTTTACCGACTAGCTGTTTTTTTTATGAGAACACGAAGTCGTCCATCCGTTTCACTAAGGTATTCTTCTCCAAACACTTCACAAGAGATTCAATACACGGTATCTGAACTCATGCGATCACAGTTTCTTCGGTTAGGACAAATTCTGCAATTGAGCGGTTCGCATAGTTGGCCAAGTAAACGATTACGAACTCGTTGGAGTCTGAGAGTTCTCGGTTGTACTTCAATCGGTGTTACCGCTTTCTCTAACCTGGAGCTTTTAAACGAAGTTTTAGAACCGGGCCTATTTCGCTGGAAATTCAGGGTAAGACGAAGTGAACCTTGTTCTTGCTAGGCATATTGTTTGGCAGTGTGGTTTTTCCTCTAAACCTATTCAGAGGAGCTGCCGTTTCATAGCCATAGGAAATGGCTATTTTCTGCACCAATATCTAGGGTTCTTCATTCCGCTCTTTTCCTATGCCTACACTGGTGACTGTTTCAAAAATGTTTTCACAGACGCTCTTTTGTGTGTGCGTGATGAAAGGAGAGGTAATGAACCAGTTCGTTTTTTCTACATGGCTTTAGGAACCAACTAGTGAAAGGTATTTCCAAATGCGTTAATTTGAGCATTCGGAAATGGAACCCAGTTTTCTTTGGTTTGCTCTCAGCTAAACTTAATGCACTGTAACTCTCCATTGAATAACTCAAAGCATTTGTCCATCTGTTCTTGTATGGAGCAAAGGGCAAAGTAATCATCTATATATTTTCAATGGGGTAATAGTCGAAGATCGATTACTGGTGCTCCCACCTTGGACATGAACACAATGGCAAGGGTTGGTGCCAGCCGCTGTCTCTCTGCCAACCATCTCTTGTATGCTGAATACAACCTTGGCCATCTAAGGACTGAGAACCTTAGGCACTCCTTTAAGAGGGCCACCAGATGCTAAATCGAGAAGCCATATATGTTTATTGCACTTTCGTGTTGCATAGGGAATATGAGAATATGTATAAAAGGGCAGTGACGACAAAGGACTCCATCACATTCGCGCTATTGGGAGACACTTGCCATGTAGACGGTGCAAGAACATTTGGATGATCGTGAGATGAGTTGGAATGTGTTTGAACAATTGAGTATCATATCATAAACAATACCGTAGGTTTATCAAAGAACTAACAAGTTATTTATCTTTGCAGAGGCTCATGGAAAGTCGGACTTGGGAATTCCACCAAATATCGCTCTGACATCCTCTATCTCCACGCTTGTGATATATACATGAATGCATAATGATTTTCATGTCGTATTACAGAATTGTCTGAATATGTTCCTTGTCATCCCAGCAGAGAAGTAAGATGTGGGGCTCATTTATTGTGTAAATACGACCTGACTCTTTACGACAAATCGGGTATATGTATGCATGATGAAGTCTGTGGCGTTGTATGAGCGTGCATTAAAAGTTTAGAAATAGACCAAACGTAAGCTGAAAATATTTCAGTAGCGTGTTTTGTGATGGACTATGGTTTGGTAAACAGTAGCATGCATACCATCCTCACCTACACGTGATTGAACAAAGCCTCTTTTTTATAACGCAGTCTTGTTCTTACCGCTTCAGTTTGTCTAGTTATCAAAAAATTATAATGTATGGTTGAAAAACCACCAAATACGTATCGACAGCAATTCGTTAGAAATCGGATATGAAACTCGAAGCTTTCTGTGCTCTTATAGCCAATACAGTATTGTAGCCAAATATTAGTCAAATCTGATCAAACTAAGATCTCCTAGTGGGTTTCTATAGCGGCATAAAAGAGCTGACTATATTCATGGTTTACATAGGTAACCACTTCATCTAAAACCTCATCGTTACAGGGAATGTGTCCGTGGATGTTTAGTTTCAGTAGATAACAAGGTCACCATTTCCTTGTCAAGCACATGTAGACCAGTGAAGTCTGCAAAGTAATTCCGGGAATCATCGTCAACACAGTCATATAATAGCAAATCTCTCTTAAACCTATAAAGGTCTAAGTGAAAAAACGAAAAAACCAGGTTCAAAAAAAAGCTTAACATTCGGTACAAAGGCCTCAGCAGCTCTCCTAGGAGCGCTGAGAAAACCGATGAGAAACGAGAAAACCTCGACTTGCGTAGGACAAAAGGATATCCATGGCTCACTATGGAGACTAATTTTTGCTCTGCATCAGGAACACCAGAAAAATCTCCTATAACGCGAATCACTACGCTGTTCCTGATGCAGCAGATTATATTAAGATGAACGTAATAGCCTTATGGGAACCAAGCAAGAGTACGACGACCATTTAAACTGTGAGTACTCAATTATCAGTGAGTGGAGGATCACGAAATTTTGATAGTGGCTATACAACACATCTTCAGAGTATTCATCGTCTTAAAGCATAAGGTCCTACCAAATCAATACGTCTGCTCATTTTTCATTCTCAACTTCTGCTTCAAAAGATAATCAGCATTATTGGTTGGCACTCACAAACTTGTGGAAATATTGTAGAAGAGCGGATAAAGGCATTCCACAATCGGTTGGAGAAAAGCTATGCAGTTAAAAAGCTTACGCATTTCTTCATTGGAAACTTGTACACCAGAATTGACGAAAAAGTGGAAACTGTCGGTGGTTTTCACCGTAGTCGGTTTCTCCATAGAAATTCGTTTTTCCGAGGTAAGGAAACTTCACGCTTGATGATGTAATTTTGCCTAACGGAACCATGCGGAGATCGATCCACATTGTCCCGAAGAGACAATAATGGTTTCTCGACATCATTAATAGAATTCTGCAGTAAGCTTCCACACCGCATTTCATGGAGATTCACTCAAGGCATAAGCATTTCGGCCAAGAACGAAAAAACAAGTTGATTATGAAAGAACTACTTCAGATGGGATGTTTTCTCTAAATGATGACTGACAAGCTGATAAAAAATTGGGAACATGAGTTATCGGCAAATGACTCAAGAACTGCAGTGAGTGTCTCACCACTAAGTATGGTTATTTTCTATTTTATTCGAGAGGTGCACCACTCAAGAAAACTCGATCCGAACGACTACGAAGATCAACCACGCCTGGACGAACGACCGTGCACAATCGACTCGAGTCATCGGCTCAGAGGAAGATAAAAACGTCGAGACATTTGCCTAACAAAGCTTTTCATCAACTTCGTATTAGCTCAGTTATCAAGAAATTATTATTAATTAAATATGCTACCACGGATCTCCCTCATATGAACGATCCCGAAAGCCGACTAGTCGCGAGGCTGCGTGGCGCATCCCCAGGTGGCGAATAGGTCGTTACTTAAAGTGACCTTTGCTTCCCTGAGACGCAGTGGGAATTTAAAAGTTTGACTCCCTGTTACTGCTGCGCCGATTTGACACACAGTTTCTGTATTTACGAGGCGTATTCATACACGTGCGTGTTGGTACGTTCTAGTTTATGCGGATTGTATTCTGCGAGTCAATTCGGCCAAAAGCCTGCAATCAAGTCACAGGGAGGTATATGGGAGGCTGTTAGGAGTCGCCTCCAACAAACAAGCTCCATGTCCACTTTGGGAGAGCCTGGAAAGCTACCCGTGTGTATACCCAGCCTCCACGATCAGAGCCTAGCAAGCTATAAGTGGGTATCAAAAATGCTAAACACAGTAAAAAAAAAAGAGCCTCATTCCCCTGACCCCGAATGAGCCCCCAATTTCGCAGCGTTGGGTAGGACGAGTACGGAGAGGCTGCTAAAATTTCAAGGCCAGTGGAAGTTGCCTGGACCACGAAAAACTAAGGAGACATTCTGTACCTTACAATAGACGTACACTTGCATCCGAGTTTTCGATAAAAGGCTTGATCATGCAGCTAAGAAGGATAAGGTACGATATCATCGGCCTGGCCGAGACGAGAAAACGCCACCCATTCAGCGCCGTCTATGATACCGGAGAAAAACTGTTCCACGGAACATGCAACAGTAGAGGAATCGGCGGCGTCGGGGTTCTCGCCAACACGCATTTGTGCATGAACATCGATTCATTCGAACACCTTACAACCCGAATCGGACGCTTACGATTAAAAAAATGTGGATCAACTCTGGCTTTCACAATTCGCATTGTTTACGCGCCAACATCAAACTATGACGAAGAAGAGGTCCGAGCATTCTATATGGACTTGGAGAAGTTCTACAGAGAAAACCATACATTCTTCAAGGTCATCATTGGGGATTTCAACGCCAAGATTGGACCAAGGAGAACCTCTGAAGAACGTCACATTGGGCACACGGATCAGAATGGAACGAACAAGGTGAGCGGCTCTGTGAGTTCATCATGACGACTAAGACCATCCATGGTAAATCACAATTCCAGAAGCTCCACCCTCAACGCTGGACGTGGGAGTCTCCCAGTGGAGAGTGCCATGACGAAATAGGCCACATAATAAACCGAAGATTTTGCCCCACCGACGCCGCTGTTGTCCCAAAATTCTAACCGGGATCGGACCACCGCTTCCTTCCTGCAAGATTCCATTTCTCACAGAAAGGAGAAAAAGCAGTTAAATTGGAAAAACGAATTTCCAAAAACCACTATAAATTGGGACTTATTCAATTCATTAGTCGGCTTTAGAAAAGATGCCGTTGTCGGTAACATCTAACTACAACAACGAACGTCCGAACTTGCAAACTTTAAGAAAGAAGAGCAGCAGTAATGCTCGAAGCTGCAGAGGCTGGGAAAAGCATTCGCAAAGCCCACCGATGCTTCGCCAATTACAAGACCAAAGTGCACGCCGACGCGCAGGCGGAGCAGTTACAGCGTGCAGAAAGGCCGTGGAAAAAATCACTCACGAATTGTACTCAGATCTTTTCTAAAGCCACGTCCACCTCCCTTCATATGAAATAAAGTAGGATGGATATGCCGTACCACCGGTTCTCTCTTCCGAAAACCGACATGCCATTTCGTTGGTAAGAAATCGAACAGCACCAGGTCCGGAGAGGATAAGATCTGAACACTTGAAGAACCTTCCGCCAGTCCTCGTAAACACACTTGCTCGGCTCTAAACACGTTACCTGCCTAAATTCAAGGTCCATACCCAGTGGAAAACGAGCAAGACAGCATTATTTTTCAGGAAAGGTGACCTACACGATATCCGCAACTATTGTTCAATCTGCTTGCTACCCATCGTCTACAAACTTTTCACTCGAGCCTAAACAGGATTGACAGAACAATGGACGAAGGAAAGTCATGTGAGCAAGCAGGGTTTCGAAAAGGATTTAGCACGATGGACCATATCCACACGATAACAAATCTCATTTAAGTATCGCGAGAGTGCAAAAAGACCACACTGTCTCGCTTTCATCGATTTAATGATGGCCTTTGACTCAACTGAGATAGCAGTCATGGAAGCCCTTAATAATCAAGGAGTCCCTACTCAGTGCATAAAGATTTTTCGTTGGGTGTACAAAAATTTCACAACCAAGGTAACAGCCTTCTACAACGATATTAACATTGACGTCAAAAGAGTAGTTAGTCAAGGTGGTACCATCTCGCCAACATTATTTACCTTCACCCTCCAGAACGTCATGCAAACATTGGAATGCGATAATATGGGAGTGAAAATCGATGGTCGGCAGTTACACCATCCTCGCTTTGCTGATGACATCGTCCTTATAACACCAAACATTAGCAAAGCGGAACGTATGCTTGACGACTTTGATAAAGCCTGTGGAAAGATTGGTCTTCGACTAAATCGCACAAAAACGATGTTCATGAAGAACGGATTGGTTTCGCATGCTCCATTCACGCTCAACGGAACGCATATCCGCGAATGCTCCAGTTATGTCTATCTAGGTCAGGAAATCAACATGTTGAATGACTTAGCTCCAGAGCTGAGCAGAAGGAAACGAGCGGTTTGAGGAGCTTTCAAGAGCATCGAGGTTGTAGTGAAGAGAACAAAGAACACCCGTCTCCATGCCCACCTTTTCGACTCAGCGGTACTTCCTGCCCTAACGTCTGCATCAGAAATGTGGTCGCTGCGTAGGCAGGATGAAAGCGTTATTGAACGCGCAGTCGAATGGCTAGAAGTATCCCGTGTCATGCAAGTAAAGGAAGGGATCCGAAGCTCCGACCTGCGTCAATGACCACAAATCAAAGATGCCGTTCTGTATGCCAAACATTCGAAGATAAGGTTGGCCGGATACGTAATGCATATGAATGACCACCGATGCACAAGAGCTGTTAGTGACTGGATTACTTGTTAAACGCACTACTGGACGACCACCAACTTGATGGCCAGGGCTGTTCACGAAAAGCCTAAAAGAATGATATGATGCTCAACGAGTCCCTAGAGCGGACAGAACCCACTGGGCAACTCTTGCACGCGAAAGGAAAAGTGCAGTATTTACTGGTGCCCCTTCGAGTCACTCGCCGATCAACGGGACTGCAGGTGACACAGGTGATACCTAGATAGAAGTTAGCTTTCGAAATCATGTAGTTAATTATCTACTAACTCTTAAGTGAGGAAGATCGTATCTCATCTTCTCTCCCAACATTCAGGAAATAGCTTAGAAGAGAAGAAACTAAAAAGTACAGATTAAAGTGAAACAGTGGGCTGAAAACATCTCTTCGAAGATATTCATCTTTGTGTTGAAGTGGATAGGAAACTTTCTTCACTAGAGCGAAGATGGGCGGGAAGTTGATTGAAGAATCTTGCGAAACTTTGGTTTTGTCGGTATTTTTAAAACGCATTAGTGAAGCAGACGACATAGTAGAAAATCTAGAACTTTGTAAACAACGGAAGAAAATCTATTTTATGAACCACCAGCGGTATTGTGGGAAAAAAAAAATGAGGTGGGTTGTTACTTCATTTTATTATTCCTATTTTATTTTATACGGCCCGTACCCCACATCTATTGTGCGGACCGCAGCACTTTTTACATGTGACTTCGGCTTCAGCTTGAGGATTTTTCTTTTCAGCATGAATGTCGTTGAATATTGGTCCAGCCGATTCTCTCTGGGGTGCTGAAATAGCCGGGCTAGAGCGATTCTACCTGGATTGCAGAGAATAGGTTTCCACAGGCAAGACCAATTTCCCGATCCCGGAAGAGTGAAAGGCTTGATGAGTCCGTAATGAGATTGAACCAGCACCGTGCTCCTGATGATCGGCACTATTCGATTATCTGCACCTAATCCATTGTATATTTATGGTGTTCAATGAACATGGAAAGGGTGGTGGCGAAGTTGAGCAAATGATGGGAGCAGGATGGACTGTGTCCGGAACTCTTAGAAAAATAGCGATTAATTGACGACACCAAAACTTCTTCAGGAGACTGTTTTTGAATTGAGGAATGGATTCACTACTTGACTACTTCAAAAATATCATGCACGACTGGAGCAGTTCTGGAATGTGAACAGCACATATTATATCGTGTGATAGTACAAAATCGAATCCCTCTAAAATTATCTTCTGTTCATGAATGAGCGAATACACACAGGAAGTGGAACATCGACCGCCTTGTCACGTTAGTAGGAGGTTTGACGACTGGTGGAGAAAAAGAACGGTAAGCTAGACCTACAAAGGATGTCTGCATCTTCTAAAAGGATCACCTAAAGAATGACGGATGTGTTTATAACTGTAAACAGCAATATTCATCACAAAAGACTAATTACTTTCAAGGTTAAAAAAACACCGTGAACAAGACAGACCACCTGTCTAAATTAAAGGTTCCTTAGGGAAAATGGACGAAACTAATGGAAAATGTTTTAGGTCGATTCGCAGGGCTCACGAATTGGTCCGCTTAAGTAATTCAGAGAGAAACGAAAGAATCGGACCTATCTTTCTACTTCTGTTCAGCAAACACGAGGTGCTATTTTATTTCTTTATTTACGCACAAGCTGACGTTTCGGCGGATTTCGCCTTCCTCAGAGCCGCTTTCTATGAGTCTTCCACTGAGTATGTCGCGTGAGGACCGACCGCACAGAATTCACATGGAAGCGTAATGTTCGAAATCCGCCGAAACGTCAGCTTGTGCGTAAATAAAGAAATAAAATAGCACCTCGTGCTTGCTGAACAGAAGTAGAAAGATATATTCAATCAATGCCGAGGTTAATAGAAAGTCGGACTTGGGAATCAGACCTATGTCATTGCTCATTATTGAACTTATTATTGCTGAGTAATTCTCAAAGTATCCAAGTAAAATCTCGGCATACTAAGAAATTTACACCGAACTGTACTCGCTAAACGACATTGTGACTGCATGGTAGATATACAGGTAACGTCTCACAAAGTTAAGTGTACAAGTTTCTTACTAGACCGTTTTATAAACTGTCATGTGGCTGTTCCTATACAAGATTTTTCCTTCCAACAGCCGAAATGGCCTTCAAATCATTTTACTTTCTACATTCGACTTTAATACTTTCTAGTCACACTGGAAATGAACAATACGACGGAGGCACATAAATGATAGCAAATAAAAGCAAAGGAAAAGTTAAAATGCTTCTTCTGTTGTGTACGATTTGTAAACTAGTTAAATGAAAAAAACAATATAAATAACTAAATAAATGATAAAAATGAGTGGAAAAAGAAAGCGAGCTAGTACGTCGATGCCATTGTTGTTCCTGATCTTAGCGCACCTTGTGTCATAGGCCACTTCCAGTGCCTGAATTAAACAAATTTAGAGGGACACTGTCTTAAAATACTCTTATATTTGCAAGGATTAATTTTATATACATATACATAATATATTATGCATATATTTTAACTTAACTAAATTAAAGATATAAACTACCACTTTGTTCCGTACAATGGCATCAACGCGCACTGCATCAGCATGCTCTACTAGTTTTTCTTTTTCCAAAAAAAAGCACTTTAGAGACTATACCCAAAGCAGGAAAGCAGTAGTAAACGACGTGGAGTTGATGTAATTATAAAGGGATAAAGCTCTAGGCGTTGATCAATCTCTGAGGGATGCGCCATGCATTCTACCTTATCAATCATCGTTTGGAGGTGATTGAATGCATATCTGGCCTTTACAATAACTCGCGGTGGCCTGCCGATGTATCGAACCAGTGCTGTTATCCTCCCAGACAACTCTGTTACCAATTTGCCGACCACGGAGGGATGGAAGGCTCGGTGGACCTTGGGCGCGGGATCCATTCCACGTGTGCGTCACAGTGGGGCCTCCAACCACTGCGCCACAAGCTCCACATGTCATCATACGAATATTATTTTGACAATTTTCACTTATTGTTTACTGCGTACTCTTTTTTAATGGCAAGGTATGCTGGGAAATATAACTTCAATGATGCTAAGACATGAGAAAGTTAAAATTGTGATTATAACTATAGCCTCAGCGTAACTGGGTTCATTGCCGATTTGGGCTCCCCAGATCAATCCCACTAATGGGTGAATGTTGGCGGCACTGATCTATAGAACTAGCTCAAAGATAGGCGAAACGAAAGACCCGCATGGTGCGGTGGTGAACGCGTTAGCCCCGGAGAGGGTAACAGCGCGTTCGCTCTCCAACACAGACACTTGCGCTTTGGAGTTTTGCAAATATCTCACCATCATTGAAATTATTTTGACAATTTTCAAACCGACCGTGATTTAACCTCAGTAGCGGAGCTTACACGAGCTTGATAAATATTTTCATTCCGGGTAACGTTTTGACGCCTGCGGCTTCATCAGAGCCCGATGATCGGTGTCGGTGGACATAATTCCTACTGCTACAGGGTGGATTATGCGTTGAAAAAGAAAACATTATCAACGGATAGTCTTGTCAACAACAACTGCTTTGTATAAAAGGACACTGCTGGGTGTGCATGGCTCATTCGTGCGGTGCGCACTAAAGAAGATCGCTTCTCGGTACAACGAGGACGCCACATCGAGATCACGAAGAATTGTGGACCACCGACACGGATCTTCGGCTCTAATGAAGACGAAAACGTCAAAACGTCAGCCGAAATAAACATCTTTATCAACCTCGTGTAAGCTCATGAAATTGTAAACATGTTGATTATTTCGACAATACTTCGAAATTATAGAACTAGGCACCGTTTTATCTGGAATATTCCTCATTGGAAAATCAAGATACTGTGTGCTGTGTGAATTAAAACATTATCCTTTCTTTAGTAACTGTCTTAGCAAACGTTTCTACATAGTACACAAAAAGATTCACAGTCGGACCTAGGAAAATGACGATCATTATAATAACTGTTTTTTCTAATATGTAAAAAATCACTTCTCTTGGAAAACATGAGGAAAAGCTTCCGCAGTACGAAGTTTTTGTTTTAATTCAAAACGTAGAGGAAAAATTTATACCAGCAAAGAAAACAATCAGAGAGGTTTAGTTACCTAGTTAATAGTAGTAATCATTTCAAAGGTAAACCAGAATGAACTTGATCAAAGTAAGCATTAACCCTATGTGCAGCTACGTGCTTCTCAATATATCTAAGTCGTGGAAAATTGTATCTGAATGGTAACTATTCGATGGTAATGGTCAGTTTGAGAGCCGTTTCTGAATAGCATCTGTGCTCCAGTCAATCCTATTACTCACAGGCAAGAAACGGCTAGTAGTTCGATCTTTTTCTAGGAAATAACTAACTGATTATACTGCAAGTTTCCTGTCGATTCACTTATCACAGTGCCCACAATTTTAATGGTCTTTAAAAATTCGCTGGTACCTCGGCCTTAACATCTCTAAAAGTTTTTTAAGTTAACAATTACGATACGAGCGTAATAATGCTATCTAAGCCTAATCTTTTCTTTCCGAGTCATTAAGTCGTAATCGACCATACGTTCCAGTGCTGGGATGCCTTCCAGTGGTTTTCCATTGCTCCTTCTTCTTACATTTTCATTTCGGTTTATAAAAGAAGCGTGAAACGATTTTCCTTCATTATTGAGAAAGGAGAGTTCGAGATTCATGTTATATGGATCAAATGGATTAAACGTATATCGTCGCATACGTTTTAGAGGTATCGTTTTAGAGATGGAGAATTGAGGATATCACCTCTTTAGTGGTCCCCATTGGATGCTCATCTGGATGACCATTGGCGGTATACCGTATTGATCGTCGAATACCACAGCAGATTACAACGAAATACTCGACCTTAAGAAAAACATTTCGGTAAAAAAGAAAGACTAATTTTATAGAGATATAATGAAGTGCAGTTTGAAGAGAAATGGGATTAGAGATGATTCGGTTCCTTATCCATAAGAAAGGACTATTTTTGTGAAAAAGTTCAGTGGCTTTTAAGTTGTGTAATCTTTTGGGCGCGTGTAGAGCAGTGGTTAGAGGTGCACTGCAATACACATGGGTTCTATCTCGCTCCAAGAACTCAGCAAGCTTTCCATCCCTTCGTGGTCGGCAAATTGGTACCAGACTTGTCTGGGCGGATAGCAGTACTGGGTCGATACACCGGTAGGTCACCGCAAGTCATTCTGTAAGTGTGAATCATCTCAAACGATGCATCGTGCATATATATGGCGCATATCTCAGGAATTGACTAACGCCGACAGACTCATCCCTTATCCTTTACAATCTTTCAGGATTTCATAAGACTGTAGAACATTAGTTACGTGCTAAACAAACTCTGAACTCACCAATGAAAGAAAGGTAATCACTAGGCTAAATGTGAACCAACAACACACACCAGAGGTGGAGTTGACGATATCTTGACGGAACAGCTGAAATAACGTCTTAATCGCTATACTTTTAACTATCTTATAACTACTTGTTATTAAACTGAAGTCGTCTGCAAAGTTTAATGAAAAATTTGCGGTAAGCTTGCTAAAAATCTTTCCAATCCTTAAACATTGGATTTTTAAAGATTTCACAAGTGAAAATTTGAAATCATAATGAGGCTGAGATATTCGCAAAACTTCGCACAGCTGATGTTTGCGGTGGGGACAGAACACGGTATTACACTATCTGGTGGCTAACGCGTTCACCATCACACCATGCGAGCCTTTCGTTTCACAAGTTTCTCAGCAGTGATATTGAGCTGTAAGTGCTATCAGCAATCACCCATCTACGGGATCAAAATTTAAAATTCGAAACATCCTCACAGAGTTCAATGTGATGAGAAAATTCAATCGAAATGCTAAACAATGCTGCACGAATACTATTGTCAAAGGATACAAGACAAAATACAGAAACTTTCATGTTCTTTTTTATAATTCAAGAAGACAAAAATTGGAGAATTGCAAGACTGGAACATTCCGATTGGGAAGAATTAGAAGAAAGAAAGAAAGAAAGAAAGAAATCAAAGGAGAAATAGAAAAATACATTAAATAATAAAGAAATCGTGTATAAACACATTGGCTACCAATCTATGGGATGGACTTTTTCTCTAGTAACACGTCAGTAACGCCGCCCGTCATAAACCCCAGAAAATTTCGATGTTGGTGGAATCAGTGGTGTTAGATAAAAAGAAAAAAACGTAAAAAAAAAAGATGGATATCAACTAACAAATACAACGACGATAATTAAGAACGGTAGAGCGGCGGAGATCGTTCTCGGAACCGACCAACTTCCATGCACCCAAAAATGCAACCATGAGGCGACAATCTTAACAAAGAATGGTGAATTACTCAAAAGACTGACTTTCCGCAAACTTAGGCATAAATAATCGATATACACACATATATATATATATATATATATGTATATATATCCTTACGAACTGCCATCGTTGCGCCGATGCGAGGCAAGTATAAGTTGTTGTTGTTGTTGTTGCCTTCGTTCGATTGTTGACGTTTCACTGTCTCCGTCTTTCTCACAGCCTCGACGTATTTTATATAACGACAGCCTTGTAATTCGGTGGAATATCTATTTTATTTGATCCATTTTCACGTCTACTGTGTGAGTCCCAGCACTTTTCACATTCGATTCGTTTCCTCACATCCATCCCGTTGACAGGTCATTGCTGATGACACCGGTACATAGCTGAGAGACACGCAGAGCAAGGGCCTCCGTAGCGCAGTGTGTAATGCGCGGGTTCCCGGAAAGGGAAATCATTGTTCGATCTGGCCTTGGATCCAGGTTGTTCACTGCGTTGTTCGATGCGCGACCACCTGTGTGTTGTTCAAGTGGTATGACTAGTGAGACCCACCCAGGTAAAAAAATCAAATTGGAAAAAGCTGCAAGGTGAGGACTTTTTTAAATAAAATAGCGTACATTTATATGTTAGATTCTCATTAGTTCGATAGATATTTCATCGAATTATAAGGCTATCGCTACATTAAACACTTCCAGGCTCTCAAGAAGGCGAAGTTGCCGAACTGTCAGCCATCGAACCATAGCAACAGTAGCAACAACGACAGTTTATCCCAACCTCGTATTAGATCAACAAGGGCAGTTCGTAGGGATATATCTATATGTATACATACATACGACATACACATATATATACATGCATATATATATACGTACATCTATATTCATATATATACATATGTATATATACATATATGCGTTTATGTGCATATATATATATATATACATGGATGGTGAATAACTGATTAGGTAGGTCAGTGCTAAACATGGAAACAGCATTGTGCAAAAGCATTAGTGTTAAGCAAAATGATGAAGAGTGATCTTTATTGTACGTCAAAACAGACTTATAAATTTCATTATCAAACAGCGCTCATTGTACTACTTTACTTTACTTTACTGTTATTGCCTTTACTGATTACTTGACATTATTACTGAGGAAGAGGAAGTGACTAATAACCTTATCCTGTACATTAACCTACCAGAAATACGGTGGGAAGAAACCAAATGAGGAGAGATGTGAATGTGGAAGTGCTGAATGTGACGACCACGTCAATGCAAGAATATGTTCCTGAAGGAAAACTGGAGAAATATTCGAATGTCAATACTACGTTCTGAGAAAAACAGAAAAAAAAAGTGCTTTCATAATACAGCCGCAATGATGCTGAGAAATTTTGCAAAACTCCAGACCGTAGGTGTCTGCGGTGGGGAGCAAACACGCTATTACCCCTTCCGAGAGCTAACGCGTTCATCATAACACCGTGCGGGTCGTTCGTTTTGTCTTCCTCTCAGCTAGTTTTCTACGTAACAGTGCCATCAGCAATCGAACGCCAACGGTATTGATTTAGTGAGCACAAATCGTCATTCAGCCCAGATAAACTGAGGCTTTAGTTGAAATCACAATGCTAACTTCCTATTTACTGCCTAATATAACTTTTCACAGCATTTCGACGTCTTAGCAAGTAAAAAGCTAGCATTATGATTCCGAGTGTAGTCTCAGCTAAACTGGGTTCAATGCCGATTTGAGCTCCTAGATCAACCCCGTTGACGGATGATTGCTGATGACACTAGTAAATAGAAAACTAGATGAGAGAAAGCCGAAGCGAAGTATCCGCATGGTGTGGCGATCAACGCGTTAGCTCCCGAAAATGGTAATATCACATTCGTTCCCCACCGCAGACACCTGCGGTCCGGAGTTTTGCAAATATCTCAGCGCTGTCGTGGTATACTCACATCACACCCTTCCATAAAAAGATTGTAGTAGGTAGCGAATGAAAAGTTACCATTGCACTTCCATAACAGTTAGGGTCTTGCTCTGAAGGAACTAGTTTCAAGACGAAAGGTCATGAATGAAAAAAGGATAGATCTGTCGGCGTTTATCGGTCGATTAGTGACGCTCCATGCACTCAACTCCATCCGTAGCATCGTACAGGTGATTGAATACAAGTTTGGCTCGTACAGTGGCTTGATGTTGCCAACTAATGTGTCAAGTTAGTGTTTTTGTTCCTCCAGACTCGTTCTTACGAGCCTGTGAGGGCACGGAAGGCTTGACAAGTGGTACGAGTGGAAGACTCAACGACTCTGGGTGTATTCCAAAGCCCCTAGCCACTGTGCCACAAACACCCTCGAAACTTCATGGTGTTTCTTAAACATCACCTATTTCTTTAACTCTGCTGAACCAAGAAATGATGACCGGTTTAAAGACTAGTCTAGAATTTTCTAAAGAATTTTTTAAAAAATGTTAATGCAATTTCAGATTTGGACAACATAAATTCAGTACGAATGCGTTATAAATGCTATAAGAATTATTCCAGAAAATCCGAAAGCCTGTCGGGAAATCCGAAGAGAAAGGATTTTTATTTTTGTGGCCTTAAGTTTCATAGGAAACATACTTGCTTTCAGTACTGAATTAAAAATAAGTGGACATCTACTGGATTACTATGAAAATTTTTTATTTAATAAGCAAAAGAAATAGCGAATGCATTTGCTAAACTTTGTTTCATTACAAAAAAACAGTACTTTTAAATCGTTTTCGCCATCATAGCATTTCATAAGAAGAACTCAAAGCCTTTCGTTATGAATGAATCCAATCTCACCGAGTGTAAAATTCCCAATACAGTCACCAGCACTCGCCTCTTCGAAGCTGATAGCGCCCGTTAGCAAATCATTTGACACCTGAAAAAGCCTAAAATTACTATTTGGTAAGCAACAAAATAAGGAAGGGAGCGCTCGGTGTTGATCGATCCCTGAGAGATGTGCCATGTATTCGACTTCGTTAAACATCGTAGAGGGAACTAAATACATATGTGGCTTCCAGTTTAGCGACTTATCAAGGCAGTCCTGTTATCCTCCCAGAAAAGCCCAGTAGCGATTTTTCGGCCCCGAAGGGATGGAAAGCTTGGCAATCTCGAGCAATACGATTGGAACAACGACTAATCCATTGTGTACTGCAGGGTACCTTTAACCACTGCGTCACAGACGTCCCACTCGATAGTTAAATAAATGATTTACCTGTTCCACCACTAAGAAACAACAGTAGTGTCACCTAAATATTATATACTCTATTATGAGGGCTAACAGTGGAATTGATTATGAAGCGATATTAAAGCGACAACTTTGTGTTCTACTGTTCTATATGTATGAATGATATGTATGCTAGTACTTTTTCCTATGGTCCCTTACGCAAATACTTGCTGTCAGCATTGGGAAGTGTTTTGCATCCAATGTTGAGCGTATTCTGTGCTTCTTCTATGTGGACATCCCATACAACAACCATAAAGGGTAAAGGATAAAGCTCTCAGCGTTGATCAATCCCTGAGGGAAGCGTCATGCATTCTACTTCATTAAGCACCTCTTGGAGGTGATTGAATGCATATATGGCCTTTACAATGACACGCTCTGGCTTACCGATGCATCGAACCAGTGATGGTATCCTTCCAGAAAAGCCTGGTACCAATTTGCCAACCTCGGAGGGATGGAAGGCCTGGCGGACCATGGACGCGAGGATCGATTCCACGTGTGCCGCAGTGGCGCCTCCGACGGCTGCGCTACACGCGCTTTTGCAACAACCATAGTGATTAAAAATGAAATAGCTCTTAATTGTTAGTCGAGTTAACGATCAACGAACTTTTTCGAGAAAGAGGTTTTTTGTAAACCCTCAATGGTAGACAATGGTGTTTCCGGCCTTACACCTACTATTTTGATCTGCTTTTGATTAGATATCGAATACGGAAGCTACAGGGAGCAAAAAAATATCTGGAATGCACGAAACGGACACTATAGTGTCCATAACATCTGCTATGAATTGGTTATTTAAGCCGGAGACCGTGGCAAAGGGGAGTGGTTAGAGGCGTTCTGCGATACACACGTGGCTGTAGATTCTGTCCTGCGCCAAGGACTTACCAAGCCTTCCATGTTACCGGAATTGAAAAGTTGGTGCCAGATTTGTTTATGAAGGCGTAAAAACTCTAACTTCATATATTGGTAGGTTATCGCAAGTTATGCATATGGGCCAACTACTCGTTTACTTACCGCTCTCACCCTACGAATGGAATCGAATACATGACGAATCGTTCAGGGTTTTGATCAACGCGGAACGTTTTCTAATTCTACTCTTTCTATTACTTTCGCACATAGATGTTCGCATTCTCATAAAGTTCCACTTTAGAAAAATAAAGAAAGAAACTCACTTCGACTGGATTAACGAGTGGAGGCGAATTAGCCCACAAATAAACAACATCTTCAAGCGGATAAACATCTGGAGTGGTTTTTGTTGAACAAAAGATACTCAGAAAATTGAAAGGTTCAAAATCATAAGATCTGCACCATGATGCCACTGTTCAAATTTGTGTGAATATCCTCAAGGAAATGATTTTATGGGCGTAATAGTGGCCAAGTGATCAGGCTGCTTGCACTCGTGATACTGTGCTAGTACTTACAACTTGAAAGACGAAGTGTGAACAATCTCCGATTAAGGAATGGAAACGAGTTGCCGTATGTCACCGAGACGTCCACATTTCTTCTAAAAGAAACCAGCTACAGTAATAGAACTAACCAGTTAGAAAAAGTCGAAATTAAAGTGGTGCTTTCAGTGCTAT